TCAGCTGTCAATCATAACGTCTCAGCTGTCAATCATAACGTCTCAGCTGTCAATCATAACTGATTTTATATCAACAAATAGCTGATTCAAACTGAACTGATGAGAACGACCTGAAATGACAGAAACCAACTTTGATTTTTAGTTTGGTTCTTGTCCCATCTGCTAGCATGGAGGAGGTTTATGACATGTACTGCAGTCAGACACCAGGGGGCGATGGAGACACTTTGACTTTACTTTTGGGAGCCGTCGTGTCGTCCATCTTTATTTATAGTTATTGTGTGTGTGTGTGTGTGTGTGTGTGTGTGCACTGACCTCTGCTGGTAGTGAAGCTGGTGGCAGCCGGTGAGCTCTCTCCTCGGCCCAGCTGACCGGTGATGGAGACGGTGTAGGTGGTGGATTCTTCCAAACCGCTCAGCTGCTGCTCGGCTGCGTCTCCAGACACCGTGATCCTCAACTCTGAACCTGAACACACACAGTGAGCCGGGCGCTGCCACTAGAGTCTGAAGACATCTACATGATAACGTTGGATTCTAGCCACAGCTCAGCGGTGGTCACATCCTCTGATGGGTGCGAGACGCCGCAACTTTACTTTAGTGGTTATTGTATGTTTTTTTTAAATTTGGGATCTGAAGTGAATTTCAGACGTAACAACAGAATAATTAAGTTGCTTCTTTCACTGGAACCTTTCACTCTCCTGCAGCTGACCTTCAGAACAAGATCGTTAGGTTAACAAACACAGATGCACCCCCACGTACCTGAACCTGAGCCATAGACGATGGCGTACTTGTCGATGGTGGCCAACGCCGGACGCCACAGCAGCAAGGCCTCGGTGTCGGTGACGTTCACGGCCCGTAGGTGTGTCGGCGGGTCAGGGACTGAGAGAGGAGTCGACGTAAAATGGTAAAAAGAGAACAGAAACAAAAACTGTGGCTCAAAAACCGAAGTGGAGACAAGGTGAGACTGAGCAGCAGAGAAAGTTTCATACGGACAAACTTCATCATCAGTGAGTGAGAAATGTACAGTTTAGAAACAGAGCTTCAAACGAGGCTCCTCTGAGGAACCTAGAACATGCACAGATCCTCTCCAGAGGTGAAAACGTGCTTCAAGGTCGTGCAGCTCTGATAACTCAGCAGCAGCACAATGAACTCAAGTGAAACCTGCAGCTCTCACGTGTGGAGAAGAAGCTGTTGACTGGGTCGCTCTCGTCCGGGCCGAGGATGGAGAGGATGCTGACCTCATAGGTTGAACCAGGAGAGAGCTGCGATAGGCCGACGGAGGAGTCGTCCGAGTCCAGGGACACAGACACCGGCTCCCCTGCACTCACAAGAACGAGTCATTTATTGGTTCATACATGATCCACATCCTCAGAGGAAGTTAGTCCCTGAGCTGCTCCAGTGATCAGCGCTGAGGCCAGATGATGCAACAGCTTCAGTCATAGATCATTTAACACTAATGTGTTTCACTTTCTCCTCAACAGCTGCAGACATGTTATTTTCCTAGAATCAGATCAGTGAACGTCGATTAATCTCCTGAACGTCATGACCATAAAAATACCACTTAGCTAAAGTAAAGGATATCTTCAATTAGCACCTGCTGCTTTAAACTAGTGCACTAATTATTCATGAGAATAAGCTGAGCTATGAGTTAGTGTGAAGATAAAGACGTTTGTTAGCAAATCCAGGAACCTGCAGTTCAACTGAAAAACAAAATGAGCCACATCCTGAAGTTAGTTCCTCACCATCCTCAGTGTTGGTGTAGGTGACTTTGAAACCACTGACGGGATTCTTGGGTTTGGTCCAGGAAACTGTCAGAGAGTTTTCTGTCACCTCACTGAAGACGATGTCGGTCGGAGGCTCGGGGCCTGGATGGCGTGAATTCAGGGAGAGGAATTAGACGAGGAAGTAAAATAAGAAGGGAAACAAGAACGAATAAAAAGAAGCAACAGGAATAAGACAAAGGAGAAAAATATAATGAAGGATTTAGAAAAGTAAAAATAGTGATAAAGCAGTAAAGAGTAAATAAATAACCTGAAGTATAGAGAAAATAAAAAGAGCATGTACATTGTTTATTAATCATCCACACTGTTGCTATTAGTGCTCCAATGAGTTTCTGTGTATATATGTACAGTGCAAACATATATACAGTATACAATCATATACAGACAGAAGGTGTCACATATGCAGACGATGGATCCTGGGCAGCAGCAGAGGAGAGAATGATGTTAGCTGGTCAAACCTGAAAATAAGAGCGTGGCAGGAATAAATGACGTCGAACCAAAAGAGGACGAGGAGACAATTTCACAAGATGAATGAAAACAAATATGTTCAGATATTAATTCAACACAGTGAGAGCAGCTGGAGGAGAAAACTCATTTGGAGCGTTAGGAAATGACTGAGACGGATGAACAAATCTAAATACACAGTTTGGTTTTCCTGTGTTTGAATCTTAATATTTTGTGCAATTTTTTCTCCTGAAGTTGAGTCTTTAAATTGATCCTGTAAAGATAAATGTGTGTGTGTGTGTATCATGTTTGATACTCGGATCAATTTGATCATAAAATATCCAATTTTTAAATTTTTATTGAAAGTGGATTTGGATGTAGAGGATGAAGGCAGACCAGCGGGGGTCTTACCCTGGTTTGGGTGAGGGGTGATGGGGTGAGGGGTGAGTGGTGAGGGGTGAGGGGTGAGGGGTGAGGGGTGATGGGGTGATGGTCGAGGGGTGAGGGGTGAGGGGTGATGGGGTGAGGGGTGTCAGTGAAGCTGCTGTTAGCTCACCCTGAGTGACAGAAGACCAGAGCGGCAGTGAATGAATGGTGGCCTCATGTTGTTGCTCTATAAAACAGAACTTTTTCCAAATCTTGGACTGAAACATAAACCAAACCATTTTAAAACATATCAAGAATTTATGTCCAGGAAAACGGATCAGTTGTTCCAGACCGAACAAATCATCATCATCAATGTTAAATATTTAAAAACAATATGAAACACATATCATGAACAGCAGAAGTGTCCAGATGTAATCTGACATGATCGACTCAAATTTCCAGGTTTCAACTTTTTACAAAACATTACATGAGAAACACACGGATGACGGATGTGGAACCGTAAACGTTTACAGTTTTCAAGAGCAACACGACACCTGAGCTCTTGAAATGAAAATGAAAGAGGTATTTAGTGGGTAAGCAAATATTATAACAGTCATACTAAGACAGGTGATGATTAGTTGACAATTGAATGTGATTTGATCAGTTCAACATGAAACACAATGAAGACATGACGCACGCATGAAGGGATTTTATTCTGAAAACTCTGAGACTGGTTCAGGTTCAAGAGGGAAGGAGCGAGTTTCGTTTGAAGGCTTCACAACATTGACAGTAATGTTGTTGCATTGTACAGCAGTGATTTGTGTTGTTCTGCTGTCACAGCAGCTTGTACCTGTACTGATGACAAGCTTGTGCAGTCTGGACAGAAGACCAGGACCCTTTCCAAGCAAGGTGATGGTGTACTCAGTCTGAGGAGGCAGATCCACAAAGTGGTGGGAGCGAGCTGAACCAGGAAGAACTTCTTTGAAGGATTTCTCACTTCCTGTTACTGGTTTAACTGCTGTGCTGCTTTGCTTCTTTGGAATATGTGTAACGTCACTTTCGGAGACTCGGTTTTCACCTTCAGGGATTCTCCCTCCTGATTTCGGTTCATCAGTTGGTTGATTCTTCCCCTCCTGTCTCTCTGAGTCTCCCTGTTGTCTTTCTTGAACTTTCTGACTTCCCTTTTGATTCAGTGTTTTGTCTTTTTCATTTTGTTTCGTAGTTACGACAAAGTTTTTGTACTTTCCCTCCGGCGAGTCCCATATGAGCGTAAAACCATCGGAGGTCCGGTTCGTCACTCCTACATAGTCCAGATGTTCTCTTGTGACTCCAGAGGAAGCAACATCTGATCCCATCAAATGTTTTGAAGCAGCATTTCTTGTTTGTCCAGTTTTACTGTCAAACAGCCTTTTAACAGTAGGATTAGTTTTAGGCTCCTCTTCCCTCATCTGGGTGCGATGTCCTGTCAGATTTCTGGATGGTGGTCGTCGCTTTGGAAGTGAGACTGTTCTTGAATCTTTTGAATCAGAGGAAGTTTGTTGGATATTTTGACTTCTTCGAACTGTAGAGGCAGGAGTTCTGCCGGTATCGCGCAGGTTATGGAGGTCAGAATCATTCTTAGAAGCTATAGTGCTACGTTCTTCTTCCCCAGATTTGGTTGTTTGGATTGGAGAACTTTCTCCATTTTCTACTTTGTTAATTTGTGGACTGACAGCAGTATCGTGTCCATCCATCAGGGCTCTTACATGTGCAGGTTCAGGTTCTCCTGTTTGTCTAATTCGAACTTCTACTCCTTGGGTAGGCCTGGGGACGTCCTGCTCTCCTAACTGGTTGTTATTTGGGACTTCAGGGAATTCAGAGGGACTCGCCTTTTCTTGTTGGCTAGTTTGACTTCCAGCATCTTCTCCATTCAGCTTTCTGACAGGGAAAGGTTTGTGCATAAGACCTCTACGTGGATATTGAGGTCGTCTCATGTGTGGACGTGTTTTGTTCTGGAGACTTCCAGAATACATTTGGGGGCGACGGAAAAATTGAACTTTGGTTGGACGATGGGAGAAAGGTTCTCCACTACCTCTGAGAGTCTCATTTAACTCACTGGACATTCTTGTTGAGGAGGTTCTCACCCCAGCTCTATCTTCATTATCCTCTTTTATTGGCTCTTTACTTTCAGCCAGATTTGATTCTTCGACATCAGGAGGAGATGAAGTGGTTGGAACTTCAGCAGGAGACACCTCCCCCCTCTGTGTTTTAGTTTCAGTAATTAAAGGTCGAATGGGGCGAGTCATAAGCCTTAAATTAGGTCGAGTTTTGTTCTGAAGGGGGCGACGCATATATCCACCTTTTGGAGGAGGAGGGCGAACTGGGATTTCTGTCAGCACAATGTTCTGGTTTTCTCCAGAGGACGCAGGTGAAGCTGGTCCATCCATGTCTCTACTCGCATCCCTGACTAATGTGTTCATCTTCACTGGGGATGATTCCTCCAAAGCAGACGAAGGCAATGATCCATTCGTGGACGCATCCCTTGTCTCTGACTGTCTTCTTGGGATAATGTTAAAACGAGGAGGGGGATGGTGAGGGCCTCTAAATTTCGGCTGCGTTCTGTTCGGAAACAAACCAAAAATTGGGCGCGGACGACGAATGAAACCTCGTTTCGGAGGTGTGTGACGGAGAAGTGGTGCGCCAGCTTTTCCTGAAGGTGGTGGTTTTCTTTCTCCCGGTGATGCTGCGTCAGTTGTCTCTTCGCCCTTAACAGCATTTTCTTCAATATTTCCAAATGAATCTGGTTTGTCTGAGCTGAAAGACGATGAAGATGAAGATGATGATGATGATGACGATGATGATGATGGAGGTGACAGTGATGATGATGAAGGTGTAAGTGATGGTAGTGATGAAGATGATGATGATGATGATGGGGCTGCTGTGGATGAGGAAGAAACTTGTAAAGGTGATGGTGAAGTCCCTGCTGTGGATGTGGATGATGTTGATGATGATGATGACTGTGAGTTTGATGAGGATGATGAAGAGGATGAAAACGAAGAGAGGGGCTTCAGTCTTGTGAAAATCTGGCTCCTTACTATGTCTTCATCAACAGAGAGGTCCGATGGTTTAGACAAGTGAACGGAAAACGTTGTGATATTCAAAATGTCATAAGTGTCCGTCAGGAGTTTTTGTAGAGACTCAGGTGAATAGTCCAGGTCTGTCTCTGCAGACGAGAGTTTCAAATCAGAAGTGGATCGATCTGATTCTAATGTGTTTCCTGCTACCACTGTCCCATCCCCTCTACACCCACTGCCTCTGTCCTTATGGGGTAATCTGGTGTGCGTCACTTTAACTTTGTTCAAGCATTTCTTCTCCTGGCTCTGAATGGTCCCAGTTCGCTCTGAAGACACTGGAGCTGTGTCGTTTTCTTGGCCTGACACGCTAACATCTGGTTGCCTCTTCGGTTCCTCTGAGCTACTTTGTCTGTGTGTTTCTGAACCGGTTCCAGACATTATAGCAGGATGTTTGTCATCCCTCCTCTCAGAACTGGATGCTTCAGTGTGAGGTTCTGTCACAGTCATATCTATTGTCCTGGTTCCTAGTTTGGAGACACTTGGTTTAGATTTTTTGGGCACTATCGGGGCCTTCCGTTTCTCCCCCATTAGGGGCTTTTTCAAGGGGCCACGGCCAATCACTCTTTCTCCAGGTACAACTCTGGTTGTGTTGAATCGGAAAGGGCCTGGAAGTTTTGGCTTCCTGGACAACGTGAGCTTTTCAGCGTGTTTGGGTCTGGTGCCATTTGTTGCCATGGTCCTGTTAACCAGAGGTTTATTTCTCGCAGCCACAGATGGAGAATGTTTGTTGGGTCCATCGATTCCTCCAACTTGTACAGACTCAGCCTCTGGTTCATCATCCGTTCCCCCCTGTTGGTCAGAGGCTTGCACCTCAGGTGATGGGTTGAATTCTTGGTCCAAGTTGCCAACTTCTTGTCTCTGTGCGAGTCTGGCCGGTGTGGTCAAAGCTGCCGTGGTAACCCTTGGTAAACTGTTCCCTAAAGCTGTGAAGGGAGCGAGCACTTGGTGTCAATGTTAACTTCATTGTATGCTGCTGTTGTGAATAACACAGAAGAGATCATAGTTAACAGAGTGAATCAACCAGCGCATGAATTTGATCTAAATCGTTTTCCTGCATGTACCATCGACCAAAACACTAGAAGAAGAACTTGTGAACAGTGACTAGTTCCCAAAGACTGTAAATAAAGATGGACGACAGGACAGTTCCCTTAAATGAAGCCAAAGCGTCTCAATCCCCCCCTGGTGGTCGGCTGTAGCACAGCTCAGTATAGGACGTGAACCAAACACAAATGAGACGTCATTTCAGGTCGTTCTTATTTCACTGATGTTTGTTCAAGTGTTTCTGATCAATATAGTTTAGACGCAGCTCCAAGTCACGATCACTTCTTCACAGACTCCAAATATTCAAAGATGGTAGCGTTGGTATTCGAGATATTTTGGCTTCATGTGTCTTCCATCTTTATTTGTGTGATATTGCCACACAATGTTTGTTGCCGTAGTTACAAAACACAAATTGAATCCGTCAGGAGCGCGTCTCGGATTTATTTAAACTTTTCTGAGATCCGACATATTTACGAGACGCATAAAGTGACAGAGAGTGACTGGGATCATGATGAATCCTGATAAACAGTAGCTGTTACGGTGTTTATAAAAGGACGGTGGTCTTCATGTAGAACCTGGAGGGAGAAGATTGAAATAGAATTAGTAAACAGAGGAATTCAACAGGTTCGATGTCCGTGTCGCTGTCGAGAAGGAAACATGATGACGGAGTTCAGGAAACAAGAGGTTTTCTTTCTTGTTGAAGCTGCAGCTCGCAAATCTTAAAACACATGAAAAGAAGTGTTGGTCTGTGGCTGATGGGACAGAGGAGAACTAATCCATGTTTGGAGGACGACGTGTGTGAAAACAAAAGGTGACAGTGATGTCTTTGATTTTGTCAAGTTTCATTAAAGCTGTATCGTCATTGACTTTCAGAAAAACTCATTTTTCAGTCCTACTCACCGGGAACCGCCTGCGTGGTCACCGGTTGGCTCTGACTCGCGCCCTTCTCTGCCACGAGGATGATGTCATATGAACGCCCTGCCTCCAGCTGCCCAATGTGGGCGGAGTCTTGGTCAACGGGTATGGTGATTTCCTGAGTCTTCCCGGCTCCGTCACTGGGAGTGATGTTCAAACGGTACCTGTCAATCTCACCCTGCGATTTGTCCCACTGGACCACCGTGGACGTCGACGTCGTCTTGACGACTTTGAGGTTGGTGGGACCCGAGATGACTGAAGATAGAGAAGTAAAATAGTAATAGAGGTAACAAAGAGAGATAATACGATGGATTCACAGCCACCAGAGCACATTCTGTTCTCGTCTCCTCTCAAACACAGAATCAGAAGAGTGTTTAGTAAAAAGACATAAAAATAAAAAATCTCACGGGTCATGAATTCGGTGGAGCTCTCGGCTCCTCTCCTGCCGCCGATCTCCCCGGTGATGGTGGCGCTGTACTCCTGACCGGCTGCCAGTCCTGTCTGAGTGAAGTTGCTGAGGCCTCCGTCCACCTGAGCGGTGATCTGCTGGTCGCTGTCCTTCTGTCAGTCCAGACACAAAATCTATCAGTGTGTTGTTTCACATTCACACACAGTGGGATCGAACCCCTGACCTCCTGGTTAGAGCACGACTGATCTGCCCCCTGAGCCACAACCGCCCTGTGTGTGTACGTTTGTGTGTTAAAGTTAGGACCACATACACACACACACACACACACACACACACACACACACACTTTAACTGAGATTAAGTGTAAAAGATGATTCTGAAACTTCCTGATTCCTCAGAGACAAATGTTCCTCTGCAGTCAGCTGTTGTTTATCTGTTGTTCTGGAAAACATCTCTGTCTCTCTCTCTGTCTCTCTCTCTG